GTGGTATTTAGCACCATGTTTTAGTAGGCAGCCTCAGTCCTGTTTTAAGTTGATTTGGTAATGCAGTAACAGTAAGACTCCATTTTGGAAAGTATCCGTGTAAATAGCTTACAAAATAAAAGAACATTCTTCTCTGGTACAGAGCCCATTTGTAATCATGGGCAACCATTTGACACCAGATTGCATTGCATTTCCACACTTCAAATACCATTACATTTTTACTGAGCTCTGAAGTTCCATTAGAGTGACAATCAATTTTCTTCTTGAAATGCAGTGCTCCCATTCCGTGTCCGTCAGAAGTTCCGGGATTCGGAACTTTTTTGTTCATATTTCTCCCACTCCGTGACCGTCAAAAGTTCCGGGATTCCTTTTAGATTTTTCAAAAGTTCTGAGAAAGTTCGGAAAAATTTAAAAGATCCAGAACATTTCGAAAGTTTCGATAAAACTACAGGAAAATCTCAATAGTTCCAAAATCCGGGACTAGTGCCCGGAAATGGGAGCAGTGTTGTGATGTTTAACACATTTCACGTAAATGTATCAGTTGTCAGTAACTGGCATTACCGTTACCGGTGAAAAGTAATTCATCTTTATTTTGCTTGCTATATTTAACAAAGTATTTGATCTTAATGAGTTGTTCCCCTCACATAGTCACGACACCAGGCATCATTTCATGACTCAAGAAAAGTTCAACTTCTCTATTTCAACAAAACATATAAGACCAGCGTCAATTCAACTCCTTCATGCCCTTCCCTCTGAGATGAGAAAACACTTAAGAGGGGTGAAATAAACGTCTTCATTCTCAAATTTAGGGCTTTTGTCTTGGAGAATGCATTCTACCATGTTTACGACCTCTCTAATCCTTAGCCTTTATCCATCGCTTCTTAGTCATTTTTTTGTTTTGTTCTTATATTGCCTAATTTACGATGGGATCGTTTTCTTCCTGCTTTGCCTTCTCTACGACAGATCATGATTCTACGTCTTCTCGGTATTCCTGATGCCACCAATCAGCTACACGGATTTTGCGATGGGTCCGAGGTTTGCGATGGGTCATTTGAACGATCTGTATCTGATTCATTTGTACGACTCGTACGATCCCTTAAAGGGAGTTTAGGTACCAACTGTGAAATAAAATAAATACATAAATATTCCGTCGCGCGATGCGGCAACCGCGGTTGGAGAGTACAATCGAGTGCTAAATATTAAACAGTGGCTGTTAAATTGATGGTTAATTCAGAGGCGCGTGTCATTGACGACAATAAACGAACGCTCCAACCCGAACCCCGCTGTGATGCGATGCGCCGATGCTTCTCTCTGCTCCGTTTACATTGCGGATCTTCAGCGAGGCACCGCACCGGGCAACCAACACAAATTGCCAATTCGGAAGCCTCATCCGGAATCGCCCAATTTTATGCACCTCTCATCCATCGGCCCGGTAGCTCGTCGCTGGTGATCGTCGATTCTGCTCTAATGGGGTCTCCCCATTTCTATTTGATGTTCCCGCCATTGAGAGGGATGAGCGGATTTGTTAGCTGCTTTGGAGCGGTGACCAATCGAAGGACAGTGATGCTTTCCTCTGATTGACCATTGCTCCAAGCGGCCATTTATAGATTCATACTGTGTGTAGCATCGGGCTTCACTTTCATCTACATAGTTCTTGTTACCGAAATTATAAGACATGAGAATTTACTTAAAAGAGTGGTCAGTGGACCACCCCCTGGTGTTTTAAGTTACCCATTAAGTTGACTAAGAGCGACGTAAATTTTTGGCTATATGTAGCAAAGAGTTAAAAGAAAAAAACCGTGTCTGTGCCATGAAAAGGAATGGTCTGATAGTGAATGGTAAATTCTGGTCCATTGTGCAGTTGCAAAACAACAGGGATGAGGCGGGGAAAATGGAAGTCGCGGAAGAAAAGGAAGCATTATCACGCCAATGAAACAGCCATGAATAAAGTTCATAAAAGTCATGAACCGCATGGTCCGCGGCAAGAAAATCAAGTGTTTTCTTCTTATCCCAACGACGTGGAGGCCTTTTACACTTCTAAATACATTGTGAGAGTTGTGTCCCCCCATTTTCGTTTCTCTGTTTCTTATTTTTCTTTTTTTTTCCATATTAAACTCTATTACAATTTTTTTTAAGATAAGTTCGAGAGATCGATCAAGTGTGCTTTTCCCAGAAGCACGACTACAACCAGAGCATGGAAGAAGCTTTGAACATTTGACCAACAGGTTTTCCCCCGAATTTGCAGAATCCTTTCCTGCGTTCCTCCAACATGAAATGACCAAAATAGACGAAAGTAGATTATCCTGGTCAAGAGCACAAGTTCTTTTATCATTATGGACCTATGTCAGACTCGGAGGCCATTGAATCCCCGCAAAAAGTGCTCAATTTTCAGTGCCAATTGAAGCAACCAACACTGGAAAACAACACATTGAATTGACGTATTTTGTTTGGCGTAACAATCGAAACTGTTTCGCATCAGTGTGTAACATTCGTATTTTGTTTGAGTGTTACCGGAAATGAGGGGGCGTGGCTTATTTAATTGGATTTTTTTTGCACAACATGGCAACGCTGTCGTAACATTTTGATGCGAAACACTTGTAACGTGCTCCGGAGCAGGTTGCAGAGTTGTTACGGAAATACTAACCTCACTTTTCTCCTTTTGGCGCCGAAGTTATTTTGTGTGGTGTTGGTGTTTAAACTAAAGTTAAAAATCATGGAACCGTATCGGATCGATATTTATTTAGAAGACGGCACATTCTATCAGGCCGTGTTTTCAGTCGAATCATTTGTTCGTCTGGCGGAAGGTACGTTTTTACCCTATTTTACAACATTTTCATGTTTTCTTTATGCTGCTCTGATCGTAAGTTTCGAGCTCTCTGCAGCCTGATTGTTGAAATTTCTTGTTTGTCGGGACGACATAGATGACATAGGTTAAAAGGCGGAGCGTGATTGGTCAGATATGTCTTATCGCTGCTTTGTCGTGCCTATGTCGGGTTGAGCTCACGACAAACTAACGGCACCTCTTAAGTTTCCGACAGAGTCAATCATTCCACCCGACAAAGGCACGACAAAGCAGGGATAAGACATAGCCGACCAATCACGCTCCGTCTTTTAACCTATGTCATCTATGTTGCCCCGACAAACAAAAAATTTCAACAATCAGGCTGCTGAATAATGACTTCATCATGTCTGCGTTGTAGCTCTCTATTCTAATTAAATTTTGGGCAGCCATACAATTTGCCTCACCAGCAGCCTGAGTGTTAACAATTTTTTTGTCGTCTGGTTAGAACGAGCAAAAGGAGAATTGAGTTTTGTGATTGGTTGTCTTGATCGTCCGTCCTATTTATTGTGCCGATGTATCTGGATTTACTGAACCAGGATTTGGCAGCATAGTATATATCGGCAACCCAAGAGATGATCACATCCTTCCAAGACAAAGAGGACCGATGATCAAGCAGTCCAATACCATAATTCTTCTCCTTTTTCTTGTCTTAACTGGACGACAAATATACGATTTCAACAATTAGGCTGCTGACTAATGCAAACACTTTCAATCCTCCAATCTGTCCAAAGCAATTTAGGTTCCTGTCCTTGTCACTCATTCCGCTGATCCTTTATTTTTGATCATAGTGGCACTGACAAAACTTCGACATGGTCAAGGATTCCATGTAACCGCAACTATTGCAAGAAATTGCTTCTTAGCGCACAGCTCAAAAGTTTGGGTAAGAGTCTGATGGGAGCCTATAGGCTGAAGTGCCTTAGCCCTCAGCCTATCATACATTATTAAGTAATGTCTGAAGTGTGGAAGTAGAGCTCTAATTATCTGCGTATTCTTGTACTCAAGGGATGAATAAAATTCTATACTTTTTGTTGCGGAACTCAGAAAATAAGTTTGGTTGTTCATGACTGCTTGAAATGTTACAATTAACTTAGTTGCATTTTTATGTTATCTTAGTACGACAAGACTCTTGTAACCTTTTTTTTCCTTCTAGACTTTGCTGCTACCAATAAATTTGCTGAAGATGTATTGGCGTGCGAGGCTGCGCAAGGGAACATAAACCCAATCAATAAAATTCGGGAATCCTTTTCCTTCTCTTTAGGATACTATTAATGAAGTAAATTTCCATACTATCAAACGTCGTTTACTGATAAGAAAATTAATTAAAAAAACCTAACCTAAACAAATGTAAACAAACAAAAGATTGCAGCGCTGCTCGCGGATTACAATCGAAAAACGCAAACAAAATAGGAATGTTCCGGCTTTTACACTGTTGCAACAATTGTACTCGAGTGACCTTGAAGCTTCCTTCTCATTGGTCGTAGAAAGTGACACAAATATCCGTTTCTTTTGTAACATGTTCCCATATGTCTTCCAAACAAAATACGTCTAGACTAGAGTCCAGACTCTTAAAAACAATTACAATAAAAAATAATCTTGATTCAATCAGATTTAAGCTTAAATCAAGAACCAAAACTCTTAATTTGAGCGGATTTCCTTTTGATTTAAACTTATATCTGATTGAATCAAGAGTCCTTTTTCTTGTCAATGTTTTCAAGAGTCTGCACTCTACATCCAATGTGTTTTTTTCCCAGTAAGGAGTTGTGTGCAACGCACGTTGTATCAGATTTCTGATGAAAGTCTAACATACCTTAGCGATACAAAAGCCAAAGAACTTATTTCCTATAAATCCATGGAGCTCCAGAACCTCCTTATGCCGCTGCCTCTCTCCGCTCTTTTATGCTTGGACCGGCATCTACGTTACAGCCATCCTATTGGATTTCTAGGTAGTAATTTCATAGAAAACTCGAGAGCAGCTGGATTCGGCGACCTGTATCCGGTTGATAACGAAAAAATCTACGTCTCGGTTAACTTCGAGGACAGTGGAGTAACCGTCTTGGCTTCAGTAAGAGAGATTCAAAGGGTGTTGGCGGAGTATTTCAGATCCTCTCCACGTCCACAAAGGAAATACTCCTATGCGCGCTTAGATCTGGGAAGAACCTCGTAAGACAACATTCAAGCTGCGTAACGGTGAATAGAGCGATACAACACATGGTAGCTTTCTTCCTCGTATCGACTGGGGGTGTATTTGATCTCCTTGCCGTCCGCATCCAGGAACACTCCGGGCGGATTGAGGGCTATGTAATGCTTGGCCTCCCAAACGATCTCGTCGGGGAAGCAGAACTGGCATTGAAAACAGCACAAGCACCACCCACGCCAGCACCAGAGTGGTATCACGAGAATCGCGTAGGACAGAAACGACCATTTCAGAATGGTCCGCCAATTATCCGTCACCTTTCGCGCCATCCAATTCCGTCGCCAAAAGGATTCCTCTTGCGTCGCGTTCCTCGGCACCGCTTCGAGTTCTCCGGAAATCTGGTCGTAGTACTCGGATTTTAACTTTTCGTAGTCGTAGTTTTCGTCCGAGAACTCCGTTCCGTTGTAATATATAGTCTTCAACGTTACCCTCCCGATCTGAGAGTCGTCATCGAATGTTGTGATGTTTCCCTTGTGGACGATTTCGGTCGCTAATTGTGACGTTGTCGGGGACTGCGAGTCCGCTTGAACGTGACCTTGGGTTGTCTCTTGATCTCCGTAAGGCTCTAAATTCATTGCGGAGACGGGGACTATTTGATCTCCTTTGTGAGGCTCTAAATTCATTGCGGAGATAGGGACTATTTGATCTCCTTCGCGAGGCTCTAAATTCATTGCAGAGACAGGGACTATTTGATCTCCTTCGTAAGGCTTTAAATTCATTGCGGAGACAGGGACTATTCCTTCCTCCAAATCTTCGTCAGAGTCTGATATGAGAAACGTCTCTTCGTCTCTCATACTGATCTCGTTAGGAGAAGAATAAAACGCGACTACGTATTGAAGACACACAAAAATCACTCCGATTTGAATGATCGGTGGAGAAAGGAGACGCTTATTCATTGACGATATCTTGAAAAAACTTTTGGAACACAGAAAAAAGACAAGGGTCGTCTGGCGGGATATTGCCGGCAAGTATACTTACTCCGACAGTGAGCTTGGTTAAGAATGTTCATATAGGTTATGATTTCGAATTGTGATTATTGTTGTTGTTCATAAATTGATTGCACTGACTCCGCCTTGCGGATGGACAGCCAAGCTTCGTGGTCGGGTGGTGGTACTTTCAAATTAGAGCGGGAGGTTTCGAAAATGTGAGAAATCTTAAAGTGGAGTTTTTGTTGAAGTGTTGTTTTGTTTTTTGGAGACTTGATTGAAAGTCAATATTTGACTAAATTTATTTAAATGACATTCAATGATGTGATTTATAACCTATCAACTGCTACACGTAACCATGGATACCATGACGCAGGGTGTGCCGAAATCAAAAATTTCACGTTATAACCCTAGTATTGAGGGACAATTTATTGTGCACTTGGCGAAAAAAGTATCTAGAGATAAGTTAGGTTTTGTAAAGTCTTAAAGTATCAAATATGACAAGCAAGATAATCGGAACACCTCCATAACCGTTATTATACGGAATGTCCCGTTTTGACAACAAAAAAAGGGATAGAGGGGTCCCCAAGTCGCCCTCTATCCCGCTGTTCTGTATTTTTTGCGCGGAAATTAAAATTATAGCTCCTCTCCTATAAGTCTGTCCCAGATACGAAGAGCGCTGGAAAATCGGAATAATTTGCACGATGTAGAAGCAAGGTATCGTTCGTTCTATTGATACCCGTCTAATGACCGAGCCAACCCCGCACCGCACAGAGGGCTGGTTACGAGCTCCGCGGCGCGGCGGCGCCTTGCGTCGGGAATCCGCTCCTGGGTCCCGGGGAAAACCGGCCTCGTGCATCGCGTTAGTTCAGACGAACACTATCTAGCTTCTTATTGGTGGGTGGTAATCAATCAATAAGGGATATAACGCAGTCCCTTCTGTGCTTAATTCGCACTCGCATTCTGAACTTTACTGGAGCAACACCACCGGACGATGGCAGCAACAAGTGGGAAGAGGCAAGTGCTCCACTCGCAAGCTCGCGAATTTGTCGCTCGAGTTATCAAGTACTTCGAAAAGGAGAAGCAGAACAACGGACCCTTACTGGGCATCAACCAAGTCTTGGAGAGGACTGCCCAAGCGCTAGATATTGGATATTGTACTGTCAGAAGAATCAAGAAGGAATCCGAGCTTGTGGCGTCTCAGAAAAAGCCGAAGTTTTCAACACCTGGGAAGACGCATAAGAAGAAAGGCAAGGAAGTAGACGACTTTGATGCCGAGGCTATTCGGAGGCATATATACGGTTACTACCGTGATAAAAATGTGCCGACGTTGGATAAGCTGCTGAAATCTCTGGCTGAAGCTGACCTTTACAAAAGCTCACGATCTGCACTTCACCGCCTTCTTCAAGAACTAGGTTTTACCTATAGAAAGCTGAACAATCGCGTCGTTCTCATGGAGAAACCAGCAATTGCTTTGGCGAGGTGTTTCTTCTTGCGCTCTGTCCTGAAGATCGACTGGGAAAAAGTTATTTTCCTGGATGAAACATGGATCAATAAAAACACCTGCTCGACCCACGGTATTTCAGATGGTACCGTCAAAGCACACATCAGCGATCCCAAGCTGGGGAAAGGAGAGAGACTGATAATTTGTCATGCTGGAGGTAGCACAGGATGGATACCTGCACCTCCATTGATATTTTCCTCGAAGAAGACGGGTGACTACCACGAGGAGATGAATGCAGCAACATTTGAAAAGTGGTTTCTGCAGACACTACTTCCAGCTCTTGAACCCGGATCCACGATTATTATGGACAACGCTCCATACCATTCACGCGTCAAGGACAAACCTCCCACAACATCGTCGAGGAAAGCTGTCATAATAGAGTGGCTGCGGAACCACAACGTGCCATGCTCTGAAAGCATGCGGAAGGTCGAACTTTTGGAGTTAGTTCGACGAACCAAACCACCGAAGCCGCAATACGTTCTGGATGAAGAAGCTAAAGCTCAAGGATTCAAAGTTCTACGTTTACCGCCATATCACTGCCATTTCAATGCTATTGAGATGGCGTGGGCATGGCTAAAAGGCTATGTTCAAAAGCGGAACACAACACAGAAGCTTGGTGATGTCAAAGAGCTTTTCCTGGAGGCTGTTGAAAAATTTTCTACCGAGGCCTGGAAATCTTACGTCCAGCATGTGAAGAAAGAAGTCGAGGCTGCCTGGGAACGAGAAGGATTGGCGGATGAAGAAGTAGAACAATTTTTGATCCATCTAGGCGCTGATGACGATGACGATGACGAATCTGATTGGTCTGAATCTGATGACGAAGCAGAAGACGAAATAATGGACGAAAGCGTCGCAGGTTTCCTGCAAGAAGACGGCTACACCCTCGGAGTTGGGTTCCTGCCCTTAGAGAAAGATGATCACAACAGTAATCATCTACCTTATGCTCAAGATTTTATTAATCTTTGAGCCTCGTCGAAAACGGCCCTTTTCAGGGCCACCAAATTTTGAGCATCCCCCCCCCCCTCCACTTCGTTCTCTCACATTCTTCCTCTTAATAATTTAAGCGTTTGGAACCAAAATCTGGGAACAGACCAGAAAACAAATAATCAAAAGAATATTTGAAGCTACGCGTATAGAAATGCCGCTATTCAGCCACATTTCGTGGCTCCCATGACGCTAAGGCATACATCGATTTTCACGTGAGGCCTGCAGTTGCCTATGTAGCTTCATGCTTTTCGGAGCTCACGTAAAAATGGAGGTAAAACCTTTGGTCAGAGGAGCGACGAATAATGTCAATAATCAGGGATTTAAATCGCCTATCCCGGTCTGGAGATGCGAAGGGAGTATGCGTTGCCTCAAGGTGGCTTGCGACCCTCTGTGCGACGCATGTGAGAGGCGACGAGATGACAGGTGACGAGGGTCGAGGCACCCCAACCTGCCAAATAGTGCTAATTACTCCGATTTTCCAGCGCTCTTCGTATCTGGGACAGACTATAAATTACAAAACAGTGTGGATGGTTTGGAAATTCAATTATACACATGACATCTGAAATTAAGTTTTTTCACAATGCTGATCCGCGCGTGTCTCTCTAAATTCTAGATGTTACGTAAGCGACGTGCTACGCCCTTCTATCACACGGAGAAAAAAACTTCGTGCATGGGACCCGAAGTTGAGGTCATGTGGATCTCTGGAGTTTTCTGATCACGCATCCGAAAACTTGCGGTCGAGCTGCCGAAGTTCGGGTCGGACATCGAGGCGATTCGGTACGTACCGGAGTACTTCAGATGTGTGACCCGAACTTCGGCAGCTGGACATACATTTTTAGATATAAGTGATCCGAAAACTTCAGAGATCCATAAGACCTCAACTTCGGGTCCCACGCACGAAGTTTTTTTCTCCGTGTGCACTAGTCTGTACAGATATTACATTCGTTTGGTTAAGGACGAAATGAAAACTGTGGAAACGCTAGCGGAAAAATAATTGCAGCATGCTTGGGTTCCTCAGTTACTAACTTGAGCTGCTGCCAAGTCGGATGCACTTGGAAGAGAGAGAGCGTTCATCTGTGGGGCTCGGAACATGCTCTGTAGGTCAGTGAGCTTTACCGATTAACGTAGGTTTGGGTATATCAGTTATTACCGTCTTGTCGATTGTTTTCTATGACTAAAATTTACCTTCTCCCGACGGGTAGAAGATTTATACCCTTATACCGAACCCAAAAGATGGCGGATCCATCATTATCTTCTGCCATTTCTTTCGCAAAAATTACGAAAAACAAAAGTAAAGATAACTCAAAGACGGCAGATCCTCATGAAATTTGCCCCAAGTGCCGCACGTATACAACATTCGGCGTGACATGCAGCAAATGTGCGTTCTGGTTCCGTTTTCGCTCGCGCCTCTGTTAACGCGACCAGTGCTCTGATATCCTCGAAAGCGAAGCAACGCACAATTGGTTTTGGAAGCATGTAGAAACAACACTTTCAGTCAGGAAAACGGACTCTGAGCCAAAGGCTGTATCTCGTTCTGATGACAACTTAACCTTAAAAAATGTTGCGAGCTCAACTCCCAGCTCCGGCAGCATTTCCGGCACAAATGCTATAAAAAGGACATCGAGCCGCATAAAAAAAACCGACAAAGGATCTTGCAACTTGCAATAAATGTTCCAATAAATTCTCGATCCCAGAAAACACCAGGAAATCTAAAAGATCAAGGGTAGGATGATACGCGAATTAAGCTCCATCGCTTTTGAGCCGAGTTCCTTGGGTTGTGTTTGACAGCTGCTGTTATTACGTGGAGCCATCCGTGTAACGCGCGTTTCAGCTGTTGTCGTACGTGCACCAAGCTAAACCGTTAATTTCCATAAGTTTGCGCCTGACCGTTGCCCTCTGCGTGCTAAAGCAAACCACGTGTTTCGTGATACCGGAAACGGTGGATAAATATATACTACCGCTTAATAAGACGGTACTGCGCAGCGGCACATTCTTATGCAAGGTGTCGGGATTTAAGCAACAGAACTTTCGCCGCGCACAGTCGACGCATAGGTGGAAACTGCACACGAAAACCGATGCGAAAATATCAAACAGATTTCGAGTTCTAGTGTTGCGAAAATAATTCTTAACAGCGCAGGCATGCTTCCAGTCTCCAGGCTGACTGTTGAAATTGATACACAAAGCGATTGACAAAGAAGACACAGGGAAAAATGAGCGATCCTATTGGTTGGAATGGCTGGTTCTTATAGACTAGAGAGACAATGATGGACTGACTAAAGGGTCTCCCGTTGGTTAGTCTATTACCTACTTCTTTTGTCCTTTGCAACCACCCGCTTCCACCAATAGGATCCCTCCGTATCCTTTTTGGTTGTTTTTTGTATATATCTTTGTCTATCAATTCCAACAATCAGCCCGCTGTCGAGAACACTTTAATCGTCATATTGTACCTGCAATTAGCTTGAGAGTTATGTGAATATCGTAAACGGCTACGTAATTGTGCAAAAAAACAAAAGCCTTATATGACCGAGATGTAAAAAAATCATCTGTCCCCTCCGTTCGGGAGAAGAAAAACTTAACTCTATTCGAAGGTTGCTAATTAATTCAAACCATTCAATTTTACACGAGAAAATGCTTGCGCAGAATATAGACGAATAAAATAGAGACTGAAGAAACATAGAGGAATTCAGATTTAAAAGAATCGGTTAGTGTTAAAAACCTCTCCTTAGCCTCTATGCACCTTAGTAAAATAAAAGGCGGTAGTAGCCGAGGAGTTTCTCAATTTATCAGAGCTACTGATGAAAAGGCTGCG